TTGTGTGCTTTAATTTTTTATAAATGGGATTTCAAAGATAATGGCATACACATAGCTCTGGGTATATACAAGTCAAATTGCACTGTTTCCATTAGTCCCATGTTCCTGAGATTTCATGAACATGCATCATTCTCATACTTTCCCTTTATTTGCATCTTGATTGAATCTGGTTCTTGTATGCAATTTAGACACTGTATTATGTAAAAAAGTTACATTTATCTAACTGACAACATTTTGTGGATGGTCAATACAGTCCTTTCCCAAAGCTTTTTGAAATCAGTAGGACTTTTTCTATTGATTTCACTGGTGATTCACTTCATTCGAGTAATTCCCATCGTTTACTCATAATCCCTGAGATTAGAAGAAAGTTCCATGCATCAATCTGCCAAAGGAAAAGCAGCAAATTTCAACATGTTGTCAGTTAAATGACAAATTCAATATCCATCTGTTCTTCATGGTTTCTGACGCTGAGGGTGCGTCTACACACAATAAATCCTGCAGTTTATTGCTTCCGGGAAGTTCCCAGGCATGTAGTTTACACACGCGCCCAGACCGGAGTACATTGAGCCAGGTTGCAGCACCCTTGGCTGGCAGGGGTTTGGGGGGTAAACCTGCCACCCTGGGCTCAGTGTGCTGCTGAGGGGCTGGCAGGGGCACAAGGGTGCTACAATGCAGGGCTAGCCAGCAGGCATCCCTATGCTAAAGCACCCTCTTGCCCCAGCCAGCTGGGACAGCATCTACACATCTGCTGCTGCACACAAAAAAACTCCACAGCAGGGCAGTACTTGCATTTACAACAAGTATTATCCTGCTGCAGAGTCTATTAGTTTTGCGCACCCTTATAGGGGTGCACGTGTAGACACCAAGCCATTTACTAAGCAGTTAATTAGTGAACTGTGCAGTAAACATCTCATGTAGGCATGCCCTGAGAGATATTTTCGTTCCCTTCACTTTGGGCATATAACTGACCGCATCCAAAAAAGTCTGCCCACATTTTACAGAAATATATCATTTGCATTTGCAAAATGGGACTGTGCCTAACTTTGCAGAGGAAGCAAGCTGTGTGTGTGCAAAACTAGGTTACAGAAATGAAGGTGCATTTGGGCCTAAATTAATGGACTTGATCTCTGAAAGTTTGTATTTTTCTTCTCTCATGCAGTGTTTCTGGCTACGTAATTCCCAGTCCATACAATATGCAAACTCATGAGTGAAGGCAGGATTGCCTCTGCTTTTATTTTGCTAAATTGTGGATGTTCCTTGTGCTCTGTGCAGAAAGCCACCTGAGTTCAAAATCAGAGAGATTTTCATTTGATTAATTTCTAACTAGTCCAAGGCTCTAATTTAACTGAATGTTCTGATCTAACATGATGCAATCATATTGAAAATGAATAATTTTAAATGGTTATCTTAATGGGGCTCATATGGTAATTATTGAGCACCTGTATTTCACTAGCCCTTGAGATGTGGAAGAAGGTAGCTGCTATCTTGAATTTAAAGAAGAGATAAATCCTGGATGTAATATAAAATAACAAAGGGTAATGCTCTATGAAAAGACCAGGGTTTTGCAGTCAAGCCTTGACGCTGTTTTATTGCTGTGAGTGAAGAGGTAGTGTCTAAATCAGGTTTTGTTGAGAGAATAAGCATCTAACAGCAAGAGGACTCATGAAATATTTTGAGTCTAATTACGAAGAATTAAGGAGTTAGAAATACGTGAATGAAGCTCTCTCTTCTTTTTTATTCAGACATTAAATCATCTTCTTTGTCAGCCTGCTGGGAATTTGACTGTCAAAAAGCATGCTTGAGAAGCAGCCTTGGGTTAGTGACATGTGGGTCTGGGGCTCAAGGACTTCTGGCTTTGATTTACTGGCTTGCCACTGAATTGTTGTGTGACCACACGTAACAGTCACCTAACCACATTGCCTCAAGTTCCCTATCTGTATAACCAGGATATTTTTACTCATTTACCCACCTGGCCAGCAGGAAGTGGGGGTTAAATACCAGCTGTGCAAAATGCTTTGAACATGGAGCAGGGGGGGGGAGATTTTCAAACGTGTTGCACCTCAAACTCCAGTGGACTTTTAATGGGAATTGGACATTGGATAGGCTTGATCTTCTGTAAACATCATTAGGATAATGATTGTGTCTAAAATGTGTGTTTAAGATTAAATGCATGTTACAGAGTGAGGACATATTATCATTGCAATAATTGTACTCTATGCTGGTTTAGTTCTAGAGGCAGCATGTCCCTTGGATAGGGCATCAGACTGCAGTGTTGGCCATTGTCTGCCACTTACTTGACATGTAACCTTGGGCAAGTTACCTCACCTCTCTTATGCCTCAATTTCCTATCCCAAACATTGTCTGCCTGGCTTATGTAACTTCTAACTCTTTGAGAGCAGGCACCATCTCTTAAAACGTGTTTGTACAGAGCCTAGCACAGTGGGACCCTGATCTCAGCCAGTGTCGCAAGGGCTATCATAACAATAACAGCAGCAGCAATAATAATCATGCTAATTCTTAAATTTTAAGTAAATCGTATTTTATTAGCTGCGAATCAGTGAAACCAGCAGTACTGAATGACAACTGGGAATCCACAAAATAGTCTACACTTGTTAAAATCTGCAATCCTTTGCAGTCCGTGTATCTGTTTTATTTTCCCTGAAAAGTGAGCATCCTATGTTAACTATTTATTTTTTTTGGGGGGGGGGGGGGGGGTGTAATCGCTTGGGGTGATGCACCTTCCCCTTTATTCTACAAGTCCTCTTTGTGTGAAGCATCTAACCGAGTGGACAGTATGTGCAAGACCCTGCTTTGCCTCCCAGAGCTGAAGTTAAAAATTATTCAATGTAAAATTCCTGGCCTGTGAAACAGAGGCTCCGTACTGTACCAGGCAAAGATTTTCACCAGCATTCTCTTGCTTAGCCAAGGCTGAGATAACAGACACAGTAAAGCACTTGGTGGAATAAATCTACTCTCCTGCGATTCCATCGGCGTGTTCACCTTCTACCTTGTTTTTCCTTTGGTTAATAAGGTATTGCCTGAGCTTAAGGTTGAAGTTTGATTTGACTTTTTTTAAAGGCACTCGAGCCTAAGTGAAGCCAGCTCTTTTTTTTCTTTTTCTTCTTGCATTGAAAATGACCAGCACGACGGCAAAACAAGTAAGTGGATGGCAGGTTCTTTTTAAAAGAAAGGTTGTTTTTTGGAAGCCAGAAAGTAATTGTACTTTGCAATGTACAGTTGAAGGTTTGGGAAGTGTTTAAGGGGCAAAAGACTGGAAATGACTCTACCCAATGTGAGATTCTTAGGTATAGTGACATGGGGCTGAATTCTAAGTTTTTTATGGTCCAAGACGATTTGCTTGGGGCAATGATTAGTGGCATGGTGATTGTGGTCACTGGCCTTTGTGAATAAATGTTCTGCCCAGAAGTTTTTTTCTGTCTTTTTGATTGCTCCTGGGAAGAGACAGAGACGGTTTGCCCGCAGAAGACTCATCAAGGTACAGAACTGAGGGAAAGGACTGGAGTGCTTCTAAAACAAACACTTGTTTTAAGTAGAGCTGATGTGTAGGGAGTATTGATTATAACCAAACCTTTGCTATTTACTTTGTGAACTTCTAGTAGCGGCTTATTACCTCAGTCATCCTGCGAAACCTATCCCTGTTGAGTGTGGTCTTACATTTCTCAGGTTTAAAGTTTTAGCAGAGAATTGCTGTGATTTTCACTGCTATATTTTAGGGACAATGTTTGGCAGTGCATCCTATTACAAAAGGAGAATGTGCTAATTCAGCAACCGTATGCCATACGTTTCATGAGAAAAAGTTATACATCAAGAAACCTGGTTGGATGCAGAAGTGTAGTACATTTCTTCTTTGGCCCGACAGTAAAAATTTTGGAAGTTGTAAATCTTGTGGGTGTTTCCAAGTTTCTGTCTGGAAACCAGCTGCTACTGTGATTTACCAAACTTTTCTCTGTTTATCGGGCAGTTTTTATTTGTCTGAACCAATGAGCATTGTGCTGTGAGGTCATTAAAAAGCATCAAAAACTACCAAAACCAAATAGCTTTCTAGTTGATCAAAAAAAAGGAAAACAGATTCAAAATATAACTTGGCAGGAGGGAAGAATCTGAATTCACAGAGCCTACAAACATTAGGAATTACTGGGACAGATCGGTAGGGCAGCAATGATTTAGGTCTCTTGAAGATGTGGTACCAAAGGTTTAGATGCAATCATTCAAAAAAGAAACATGGCATTATATTAATTTTAGAATGATCTAAAGAACATCTTAAGCATTTGACATGTATTGTATATCACAAATAGACAGTTCAGAAGTCTGAGGCCTTGCCTCATCCTATTCAAAGGTAACATGCGCCTGCAAAATCGGTGCCTGCAACGGTGGACCCTAACCAATTTCCTTGTGCCTCGTGACTTACAGTCCAACCAAGGAAATTAGGGGAACCAGTTTGTTCTCACAACTAAAGTGAGGGGGCAGATTTTGTGGCTGTAAATCGCACCGGCATCTCTGTGTTGTCAAATCCTTATTGCATACATTTAATATTTAAAAATTAAAGCATGCAGAAGAGAAGTTTTCAAGATTTGTGGGGCCTGTCCCATTCCTATTATCTTAGAAACATTTCCCCAAGTCCTTGTGCTTCTGGTCCAGTAGCATTTCTAGACAGCCTGTCCCCCAGAATAGAGGACTACTCTCTGATCTGCCTTGTTAACAGATCATGTGCATCTTCATAGCAGTGACTGTGACCAGGATGGTGACAGGTTATGGAGTACACGAGGAACATCATCTTCTTAGGATTCACCAGGCCATATTTAAATTTCAACACATTTGTCCAGAATCAATGTGAGAGTAAGGGGTCAAAGCTTCACACCAAAGATGGTCGTGTACCTATTCAAACCGAGTTAAATTGTAGGCTGCTCAGATTATCCTTACCTCTTTTCATTAATCAGCCAGCTGGTGTTGCTCAGGAGTCTTTATAATTGCATTAAATTATCAGACGGACCCTGATCCAAAGCCAATGGAAGGACTCTCCTCAACTTCAGGGGCACTTGCATCAAGTCTGAGCTGAATATCTGTAGTCTTTCTTTTTTCCCTCAGAAAAGTAAGATATTTTGAAATCTTTTGGAGAAGGTATTTCGAATAACTGTTTTATGCGGCAGCAAGAGCTGAAGCAAATGCTTGTGTCATGGAAGGATTTTGCCTTTTTTTTAAAACATTCTAAAATCCCATATGCAACAGTGTGACTGCACCGAGTGTGTTATGAAAAGGAAGTATGCTCCTTTCAGCCTCTCTTGTTGGACTGGTTTGTGGACATCCATATCCCTATGACAAAGTAGTTTCACTGACATTAGTTATAGAATCTTTTCTCAATGATGGGACATCGATTGATTACATGTCCTATACGCTTATAACCTGTCTCTTCCAACCAACCTCTCTCTCCTCCTCCCTTTACCCTCACCATCTCCCTTTTCTCTCTTTCTCTCTCATCCTTTAATCTCTGATTTAGCGTTTGGATGGTTCTTCAAACTCAAAGATTTTTATTGTTGATACATTTTTGTGACATACAGCCTCAAAGTTTTATTTCTCCAAATCTGGACTAATTGCCAACAGCTAAACTAAATGGTATGCATTTCTTTCTCTTTTGTTTAGTATCCTTTATTTCCATATCGGTGCCTCTATCCCAGGGGCAGGCAATTATTTTGGGTGGAGGGCCACTTACTGAGTTTTGGCAAGCCATCAAGGGCCTCATGACAGGCAGCCCAGGGCAGATAAATATTAATTTTCTAAATTTTTTAGGGGCCCTGTAAGCCGGATAGAATGGCCTGGTGGGCCGCATTTTGCCCACCCCTGCTCTATCCCCATCTCCATAGGTACACATCTGTGTATTCATCCATCCATTGTCACAGAGGTAACTTTTCTTTTTGGTTCGCAGCGGTGGACATCTCCTCACCAAACTCCATCCCTTAAAGTGTATCAGTGCTGAGCTTTCTTTGATCCCTTGAACTTGCTCAGATGTAGGCAAAGGGAAAATCTTTTTACAGTACAAGAAAGAAAATCCTGATGCTTGATGAATGCTATAGCTTAAGTTTTGGTATCAGCTCCACCAGTGCAAATTAGGAATAACTTCAGTCTTCTTGTTAGAATTTATACCTAGGTTGTGTTTAGCTTAGTCTTACCGTCTGGAGCATCTGATGACCTGCTCCAAAACTCATTGAACTTAGTAGGGGTCTTTCCATTGGCTTTGATGTAGTCTCAATCAGGCCATAAATGAAAATTTTTAAAGCTAGAATTTCTGAGGATAAAAATTGCAGAGAATAAGCAAAAAGGGACTTTATTCCTAGGTGTACAAGAAGCCTTTTTTAGTTTTCATGACCTCTGAATTTTATTGGGGAAAGCAAAGTGGTGTCAGTGATTGGAAGCAAAAACACTGCCTATTCCAACAGAGTGTGATTACACTTTAACTGACCAGGGATTGCACTCCAGGCCAGTCACACAATCTCTCATGATATCATCCAACACTATGTCATTCAAGATAGCTGAGATGCGTGTCAGTAGGAATTAATAAGTTTGTTTTGACAAGCAGCTCTTAAAAGTAGAGTGCCCTTTTCATTTCAAAACAGAAGCAGAGTGTGTAAGCCCCTGGTTTCCTTGCAGTGGATGTACCCATTAAAGTCAAAGGGAGCTTCTTTAGGCATCTTTGAAAACCCCAATCTCTACTGTACAGTCCTGCTTATTAATTTAATGCAGAGCATTTGAGTCTATCATCATGAGTTGTGTCTGGTCATGAGAAGGTGACAGTGGCCTCCTGTCTCCCTTAGTTTTTCTAGGATAGAAGGATGTGTTGTAGATATCTGCATATTACAGGTAGACTAACAACTAGTATTGACAGAAAGAAGATAAGGGATCTAAGGTGCCAGGAGTCATTTCCCATTATAGTCCCATTGCCAGGCTGAAAGAAATAGGCTGGCAGCAAGTCATTTTCTTGCTCACCGATCCAGTTGTTGGGAAAGCAGAGAGTACCAGAACATAATTTGCAGATCTCCCATGGTGTACCTGGCTCCAGAAATGTTAGGCCCAAGCAGCCACATGTTCTGTTTGTGCTTAAAGCTACCCTTGTATGTATGTGTGCATGCACATGTATGTCACATAGCATTTCCAAATTCTCCCCTGGGTTTTGAGCCACAGATGCCTTGAGAATTTCTGTATCTAACAGTTGGAGCCAGAGGGTGTTTATGCACGTGCTTTGGGAATGCGGGGGAGGCAGTTTAATTAGGGGCGCTCTAATTACAGTGCTTGGAGTGTCACATGTATCAGTGTCCTCATGCTGAAAAATGGGCTCATTTAACTCGAATGAGCTGCCTCGTTAACCGAATCGGACCGAATCTCCTCCGAATCGAATCACCACCCGAAGCTTCGCACAGCCCTAGTATGTAGGTGCCCAGAGAGTGCATCTGAGAAGAAGAGGAAGGTAGCAGTGGCAGGGAGACAACAGAACAGTGGTTCTCAACCTATTTGGACTCGAGGCACCTCTCATTGTACTCGAGGCACCCGCTTCCTAACTTTTGTGAATTGAGTGGCATCCAATTTCAAAAGATTATTTAGGTAGTACAGTGTTTTCCTCCTTAAAAAGGGGCTGGACAATGGGAGTGGGGGATGGATCAGAAGGACAAGCCTGACTGCCATATCTGTTAAACTTATATCCTCACACTCATGTCCTCAGACCTCTAGGCATCCTTCAAAGGATCTGGTGGCACCCCAGGGGGTCCAGCATCCTGGTTAAGAGTCAGCTGGAACAGAGTGACTACGGGCGCGTCTACACAAAACACTTTCTGCACATTAACCTAATAACACTGCGTAGTAGCATGGTGGTTAAAACCCATGCTAATAGCTTACTGCGCAGTATTATTAGACTAATGTGCAGTAAGTGCCACAAAATAACTGTGCGCCGGTTATAACTAACTGCACATTTAGTTAGTACTTTATTAGCAAATACTAAAGTAAATGAGCAGTATCTAAGGCACACTAATGAACGTGTAGACGCTCCCTGTGGCAACTAATGCAAAGCAGGTAGAGAGAGGTGTATACAGGAGTATATAAGGTGACTGGAAGCTATAATACAAGTCACACGGTTGCAGCCCTCTGAAGTTGG